CAAATTATAACAATTATAAAATTAATAATTCTGATATATTATACTCTGCAAATTATAACAATTATAATGTAGACAATATTTGTAATATGGTCTTTATTTTTATAGGCACGGGTTAGCACAATGCAAATGGTGAACAATATTGGAAGCACATCTCATACTCAACCAGGAATAGTTAACAATATAAGTAGTCAAAGTTCTACAGTAACATCAAAATTTGTTGACTTTAATATAGATGCCTATCCAAATGCCCCATTTTTTTTTTTAGTGTTGCAGTAGTAATTGTATGACATTCGTATGTAAATTTCAGATAGTTTGGTTTTATTTCGTTTAGATACATTTTGTACGGGTATCTGTTGGCCTACTGTGTCAACGTTGGTTTGAGGAGTTGTTATAGTAATTGTTGGCTTCTTTGTTGAATATTCAGTTTCTTTATTTTTGAAGAGATGGGTATTTTGGACAAATTCCATCAGCTTTGTTTTACTTCCTCACAACTATTTTGTGTCAATTTCCAATTATTTGAATCAGCTTCGAATGGATTTGTGTTTCAATAATCTTTGAGGTCTAATTCCTTCACAAGGCCTACTGTAATTGTGTGTGAGGAACAACGTGCTATCAATGAGTGTTCAAGAACAGGTCTCATCATGCCTGGGATTAAAAAAAAATTAGCACCAATTTGTTCACTGGGTTGGCTCCTGTTGATGTTCTTGGATTGAAAAATCTAACATATTTCAATATTTCCTGTAATGTGTTTATGGGAGAGATTCCAAATATCTTTTGCCTTTTTCATGTGCTTCCTGGTATAGTAATGTACAATCCCAAATTATTAAATAAGCCATCAAAAGTTATTGATGACATTCAATCAATTCCCAATCCACATTCTTACTAGCCTAAAAACTCACTCATTTACATCATTAAGTACAAAAAGATACAAGATAGAAAATAAGTTTTTGATTTCATTAATTTCATTCGCCAAAACATTCAAAAGTCAGTCATTTACATGATAAAGTGTAAAAAGACAAAAAAAACAATGACATAAATCATTGCATTCAAGTTCTACTATATTCTTTGCAGCCTTCTACCATGCTCATGAATTTCATTATCCATCTCACAAAGTCTTCTTTGTAGATCATTTAATTTTTCTGTTCCTATAGTTTTTCGAGGTCCAACATTGGAACGAATTGAGCTAGTGTCATCATCATCTTCATCTGCTAATTTGAAGTAATTACAGTGTAAAGATTTTTGCTAACTAAAATTCTTGGTTGCCCGTTTGGTCGTTGACTAATTGTCGGCAAAATAATTGACGACTAATTTTTTTAGTCGCCAATTGGAGACTAAAAATTTAGTCGCCCAAAAGAAAATATTTGTCACCAAAACAAAAAAAAAAATTCATCTTCAAATTTTTAGTTACCAATTTTTTAGTCGCTAAAAACATGGCACTTCTTTTTGGCTACCAACTTTTTTGTCATTAAAAACGTGACACTCTTGTTTGGTTACCAATTTTTTAGTTGCTAAAATTTTGGTGCTCCTTTTTAGCTACTAATTTTTTAGTCGCCAAAAACTTTCATTTTTTTTTTTTTTTTGGCTAGTAAATATTTAGTAACCAAAAGTTTCCTCTTTTTATTTTTTTTGCTACTAAATGTTTAGTCGCCAAAAGCTCTATTTATTAATTTTTTAAAAGGAAAATTTACCCATAAGTCCTAGTTTCTGAAAAGTTGAACCATTTAGTCTTAAAAGTTTTCTTATGCTCCATTTAGTCCCATTTGCACATCAATCTAATGTTCGAAACATTAATTTGATGTTCGAAAGCTAATGTTCGAAACATTAATCTGATGTTCGAAATTTAATGTTCGAAACATTAATCTGATGTTTGAAAGGATAAGGGACAAGAGTCCTAGAATGAGAGAGGACTTCAGTTTGGATAAAGATAAAACTCTTAGAGAGTTTATCCCAATCTAACTGAGAGTCCAGGATTAGCATTGAGTCAGAGTCCATTGAAGCTAGGCTTCTATTGGGATTAGGTCAGTGTTGGCTATAAAAGAGACGCACCCTCGTGGGTCTAAGGTACGCTTTTTGTATTCTGAATAGTGAGTTAAGCACTTTTGCTATCTTTGAGAGATAACTGACTTGATCGTTGGAGTGCCCCCGGGTGGACGAACCACCACCGGAATCTTATCTTTCTGTGACAGGTCGTTCATGCTTAATCTATTCTGCCGGTATTCTCCAGCTGAGTACTTGTTTGGCAGTGTGGTCGGAAATTGACACACATACAGAGGATTGTTCCAAAATAAATGTCTTCCATATACAAAACAAATGCTCTTCGTACACATCCACAATAGCTCACGCAAAAACAATCTGTAAAAAAAGAAAAAAAAAATTAACCATTAGCACATATTCAATATAATTAACGTTTTAAATTATAACAATTATAAAATTAATAATTCTGATATATTATACTCTGCAAATTATAACAATTATAAAATTAATAATTCTAACTTTCTACCTATTAATACAATTTTTCTACACAAGTTCAAATACAAAAACTCCACTTTCTTACATGCCTACCTATTCCTAAAATCATGGACAAAAATGATTAAGTAGATGTAGGTAGGTAATGCTCCATGCATATAACCAAACTCAGATAGTTTTTGAGATACAATGGTAAGCCATGCTTCATTGCAAAATCCAAACAACAAACTGGTAAATAACAGAGAACCAGGGATAATTACCAATTTCCCTAAAACCAGAATTCTAACTATTTTTGCTACAGGTTAAGGTATTTTCTTTTTCCTGAGAGCCTTTTCTAAATAAGTTGGTCATGTTAAACTCATTTAATGAGCAGCAAAACAGGCGTCAGTTTTTTTTGTTACATTAAACAACAGAATCATGTGCCAATAATCAGTAATTTTAACTTCTGTTCCCCAGAGGAATTTTTGCTAACATAATACCAACTTGAAGATAAATATATTTTTTCTAGTTCTGCATATATATTTGATTTATTTTTGCACTTGTAAGTTGTAATCAGCGTCGTAATCAACAGACACCTGGTGCCCATTTAATCTTGTGAGTTAAGAACTTCAATTGTATGCAACTAATATCTCATCACATCTAGAGCACAATGGCTAGCAAGTTGACATTTGAGGCTTGTGAAGGTCAATGTTTCTGGTAATTAGTAGAAAGTACAACATATAATTACATATCTAAATATTACTCTTACATGATCAGTATATACTGAACCCAAAAAAAAATGTGAACAATAGGCAGAAATACGAATAGTGTGTCAAACAAGCTCTCTTTAGATGTATTTAGTGCAGAAGTAAAGGATGAAAAACCTTTACCTCCTGTAAAATCAGAGCAAACGAAAATACATCCACTTTGGTGTCATACTCTTAGAGCCACATATCAGCCTGTTCATAAAGTATTATTCATCTCAGCTAAACAGGTATAATTCCATAAATAGCCAAGTCAATTTACAGAAAATGAGGGTTACTTCAAAGGGTAGAATACTAGAATAAGGAAAACCATGGTTCAATTACTTCTAGTTTTTCTTCCATTAATAAACAACAATCTACACTCGTTACATTTCTGCAAAGATGCCTTCCTCTCAATTTGTTTTTCATGGAATGCCAGTTTCTAATATGCAGCCCCTTGGCAATCTCATAAAAATTCAAGAGGTAACGATAACTAGTGTGTGAGAGCAATAAAAAATCAAATGAATTTGACCCCAAAAAAATGAATGCATAGAAGAAATACAACGAAGAGGAACCAGGAACAAAAACTTCACTGCCTCTTGTGTACAAAAAGCAATCTACATTTATGCACCAGATATATGTAGATGTCACCATATCAACAATAATATCCACACAATTTATCAGAAACCATGATATGATCCTTAATTAATTGCAATTGAAAAAACTAGAGTACAATTTGAGCCGTGAGTAATACGAAAGCTATGCAGAAGATCAGCACACTCACAAGAAGTGTCATGACAGGTTAAAGGCCTATCTTCTTTGACTCTGCTGGTTACTTTTAACAGCTTGCTAACTCCAAAGTCCACAACTTTCAGATGCCCTGAATCATCCCGCAATATATTTCTGTTATCTTACTCATAAACAACATAAGAAATTATACAAGTATCTTTCTGTTATCTTATCCAGATTAATCACAAAGGTTCAAGATCACTGTGAATTATTGCTCCAGGTCTATTCTCATGCAAGTGATTCATCCCCCTGCAAAAATCACTAAAAAATTATACAAGTATTTACATCAGCTGCAGGTAACACCAAATAAATATAATCTTCAGCATTCAATGAGCTGAAGGAAAAAAAAAAAAAAAAGAGGAGCCATAAATTGATTGAACCTTTGGCACGTGTCCAACAACTCAATTTAAGAAATCCTAGTCCGATATAATGTTGAAAAGTAATTTTTCATTTTCAAACAAATAATCAAGAACCTCAGAAGAGGTTTTTGGCATCTTAACATCTCAAGGAAAGACAGCAAGGCGTAAATAAACAAAATCAATTTTTTAGAACTTCAGATAGATTACTAAAAAGTGTTGTTGTCAAAGTTTGATCCACATCAACCTTTCCAAATCATTTGTATTAAAGTGAGTTCTATCGAGGAATTAGATGACTACAAATGTAGGGTGTGAGATTCACAGTTGTTCAAGCTTCACAAAAGATTCCCAATTCTAGCAATGTCTCTTACAGAAATGTATCAAAATCTCAGCCTCTTCAATCATTTTCAACTCTTGTTACTTGCAACCCTATTAATGAACCTTCCTTGTAACTAAAGCATTAAAAGAAAGCAAGGTATCTAATCTACAAAAAAATAGATTAATGAAAAAGGTAAATAGCAGCATATACTAAACCCTATAAGCCTTACATTCAAATTCAAGCACTGAAGGGGGCTAGAGCTAGAAATAGAGCTTCCCAGTCTGGAATCCAATCATCAAAACTAAAAATTAAAGAAAAGGCAAGAATAGAGACAACCTTAGACTCCAATTTCTTAGATTATCTTAATTTGGGTTTCGGACTATGTTACATGGACTCGGGTACGGGTGTCGGGTGCGGGTATGTATCTAGAGGTCGGACTCATCAAATCATAAATTTAAGGATACGCGGACTCGGCAAAAAAATGGCATATTTTTATATTTTTAATCTAATATGTGAGATAAAATGGTATTATATGTAACTTATAGTGTCAAAATGACATTTATAGCAATTATATAATAATATATACATAAAATAATAGTGTTATTTCTAGCAATGTCTCTTACAGAAATGTATCAAAATCTCAGCCCCTTCAATCATTTTCAACTCTTGTTACTGGCAACCCTATTAATGAACCTTCCTTGTAACTAAAGCATTAAAAGAAAGCAAGGTATCTAATCTACAAAAAAATAGATTAATGAAAAAGGTAAATGGCAGCATATACTAAACCCTATAAGCCTTCCATTCAAATTCAAGCATTGAAGGGGGCTAGAGCTAGAAATAGAGCTTCCCAGTCTGAAATCCAATCATCAAAACTAAAAATTAAAGAAAAGGCAAGAATAGAGACAACCTTAGACTCCAATTTCTTAGATTATCTTAATTTGGGTTTCGGATTACCCAGACAAAAGGAACATCTGATGACAAAAAGGTAATTTAATGTTAGAAAGAGGTTTGATTGGTTGGTGGGTTTGGATGGACCTGCCATTTTTGTAGACTTCACTTGCAAAATTGCAAGCCCCAGAAGCAGAAACAAAGAGAAAGGTGGGTATATAAATGAGGCTATCGACTTGTTGCATCACAGGTCGAGTCTCTAAAACCCATCGCAAGCACAGCCTTTCACAGGTACTCTCTTCGATTGCTCTGTTTTTTTTTTTTTCATACCCATTAAAATTTCTGTTCACAGATTCAAACGCTTGCACCTAAAAATTGTTCAGATAGAGAGAGAGAAAGAAAGAGAGAGAGAGAGAAAGGAAGAAGAAATACCAACTGCGCGCAGTGTGCGATGTAGTACTGTTGCTGGTCAGAGATGGGTGCTCCTTGTGACGGTGGTGGACAGCTCTCTATGGAATGAGAGAAAAAGAGATGAGAGATGATGAGAGAGAAGAGTGACAACATGAGATATTTTACATAGATGATTATTAGCGACTAAAAGTATTTTATAAATCCCTTCAAAATATTTGAAATGTTTCCCTCCAAAAATTTTACACTATGTTTGGAACCTAGGAGAGAAAAGAAAAGAAATGATTACTTAAATTATAAGAGAAAAGAAAAAATTGTGATTTGGACAGCTCTCTATGGAATGAGAGAAAAAGAGATGAGAGATGATGAGAGAGAAGAGTGACAACATGAGATATTTTACATAGATGGTTATTAGCGACTAAAATGTTTTAGTCGCTGAAAGTATTTTATAAATCCCTTCAAAATATTTGAAATGTTTCCCTCCAAAAATTTTACACTATGTTTGGAACCTAGGAGAGAAAAGAAAAGAAATGATTACTTAAATTATAAGAGAAAAGAAAAAATTGTGATTTCTCTCATTCTTGTTTGGATAAGTAACAAATAAAAGAAAAGAAATGATTGTGATTTATCTCCTTCTTATTTAGTTAGATTTCATAAGAGAAAAGAAAAGAAAAGAAAAGAAACTATTTTATGTTATATTATCAAAATAACATTTTATATTTTGAGGACATGGGTGTCAATAATTTTATTTCTTTTATTTTTACAGGGACAAAATTGATATTATGAAAATATAAGAATCTCTTGATTTCTTCTCTCTCAATCTCTCCACTTTGAGAAGATTGAAAATGAGGGTTACAAGAGAAATAAGTTTCTCTCCGTTTCTCTCCATTTCTCTTCACTTAACTTATCCAAACAAATAAAAAAAATACATATCTTTCCATTTCTTTTCTCTTCTCTCCAAATCACTCAATCCAAACATAGTATTAGTTCTTTGGCAACTAAAATTCTTTTTCATCACTGAAAGTAAACTTTTGGCGACCAAAATTTTGGTCGCCAAAGGTAAAAAAATATTTTTTATTTTCCATTCGGTAACTAAATGGTTTTAGTAGCCAAAACTCAATATACGCCGACCAAAATTCTAAATGATTTTAGTAGCCAAAACTCAATATACAACGACTAAAATTTGGTCGCCAAAGGTAAAAAATTATTTTTTATTTTCCATTTAGCGACTAAATGGTTTTTGCTGGAAATTTGTGTTAATGTATATAATTTGTGTTAATGTATATTCCTTCTTCCTCATATTTTCGGAGTTTTTCTTCCTCATATTTTCTAAGTGTTTTAGTAGCCAAAACTCAATATATGGCGACTAAAATTCTTTTTTGTCGCCAATTCTGGCATTTTTGGCAACTAAATTTTTTTTAGTCACCAATAACCAATATACCCCGACTAAAAAAAATTAATAGCTAAATATTTTACTTTTGCCCGCTAAAAAAATTTGGTCGCCAAAGGTGAATTTTGTTGTAGCGTTCACGCATACAATATACATCGCCGCAGTTCTCCCACAATCACACAATCTTGATTTTAATCTTATGTTGCTCTTATTAGTAGAAGAAGAAGCCATAGTTCTGTAATCTGCATACATAATACCAAATGCATTTGAAAGCCATAGTTTCGTTTAAATTGTTGCGCTTTCTAAATTGTTACGCTTTCAAGCAGTTTGTAGCTTAATCTGACTCTCTAGTTATCATTGCCCAAACATCCAATTACTAAACCATGTTCAACTTGCTCTTCCAATTTTCAACACACATTTCAAATCAGATTTACAGATTTCAACACATTTATAGATTTATATCACAAATTTATATCAGATTTTTAACAGATTTGTATAACAGATTTAGATTTATAACATATTTATAACAGATTTCAACACATATATATCTATTATTATAACAGATTTATAGATTTCAACATTTTTCAACATACAGATTTACAAATTTGAAAACAGATTTATAATTTTACAGATTTCAAGCAAAACTGAAAACAGATGTATGAACTCAAAACCCAAAAATCCAAAATTCAACACAAATTTCAAATCCACAACACATATTTGTATAACAGATTTAGAACATATTTATAACAGATTTCAACACATATTTATCTATTATTATAATAGATTTACATATTTCAACATACAGATCTACAGATTTGAACACAGATTTATAATTTTACAGATTTCAAGCAAAAATGAAAAACATGACTGAACTCAAAACCCAAAAAACCAAATTTTAATACAGATTTATATTAAATTTTTAACAGATTTACAGATTTGTATAACATATTTATAACAGATTTACAGATTTGAAGCACAATAGATTTCAACACAGATTTCAAATCCACAACAGATTACAGATTTGAAGCAAACCACAATAGATTACAGATTTGAAGCAAAACCAAACACGTGTGTATTTTAAAGAACATATTTCCACATTTCAGATGCACAAACAAGCAATCTTCAGATTTCTACAGAGGATAACTATTCACCATCAAACACATCACAAATTAAAGGCCAATCCCAAACCCTTACACAAATTGAAAGAAAAATCCAAACCCAAACAGTCACAATCGATTAATTTCTACAGAAATTGAAGCCAAAGCATAAACCCTAGATTTGCGATTTTAGGTTTACCTCGGATTCCATTTCTTCTCGTAGGTTTTTCTGTATTTCATTGTCCGTTATTCGCCGTCGTTCGTCCTCGTATGTTGTTGTTCGTCATTGTTCGTCCTCCTTCGTCGTTGATCACAGAGCGATCAGAAGTTGGAGAGATGAGACAGATCTAGGATGAGAGATTTGGGATGAAAGAGATCTGCTGAGCAGATGTGATAGTAAGCTGGGATGAAAGAGATCTGCTCAGAGTGATCTGGGATGCGAGAGATATGCTTAGATTGATCTGGGATGAGAGCTTTTTAGCTTCGAATAGAGGTAGAGAGAAAGTGATCAGTTCCGATTGGTAGCTCGAAAGTCGGGGGTTCGAAGGTGGCCCGACACCAAAACGACGCCGTTTTGATTTTTTTTTTTTTTTTTGTTTTTTTCCGCATCTCTGTCCCGAAGAAGAAAAAGAAATGGAGTGGGGTTAGGTTTCATCAAAAGAAGAAAAAAGAAAGGTTCCAACGCAGATTTTTAAAAATTGGGATCACCAATAAAAACAAGTTAACATAGATTTTTTTTAAATCTGTCCAAATGAAATTTTGTTGGTATCTATTTTTTTTTAAATCTATCCAAATTTTTTTTTCTTTATCCTCGAATTTTTTTTTTGTTCTCTTCATCCTCAGATTCAAATAAGTAACAACATCATCATCATCTTCAACATCACCATCATCTTCATCAACAACGAAAAAAAAAATTACCTTTAATCCTCAAAATTACTTTTAATCCTCAAAAAAATTACCTTTAATCCGGAACTGAACCAAGGAGCTGGGTCTGGTGAAGAATTACGAAGAAGAAGAAGGAGCAATCTTCACTGTATTTAAAAGATTTAATTCTATTGTGTACACAACAACAAATAGAATTTAAAGAAATAAAGAAAATGAGAGAATTTGTAAACAAGCAATCTTCAGATTTCTACAGAGGATAACTATTCACCATCAAACACATGACAAATTAAAGGCCAATCCCAAACCCTAACACAAATTGAAAGAAAAATTCAAACCCAAACAGTCACAATCGATTAATTTCTACAGAAATTGAAGCCAAAGCATAAACCCTAGATTTGCGATTTTAGGTTTACCTCGGATTCCATTTCTTCTCGTAGGTTTTTCTGTATTTCATTGTCCGTTATTCGCCGTCGTTCGTCCTCGTATGTTGTTGTTCGTCATTGTTCGTCCTCCTTCGTCGTTGATCACAGAGCGATCAGAAGTTGGAGAGATGAGACAGATCTAGGATGAGAGATTTGGGATGAAAGAGATCTGCTGAGCAGATGTGATAGTAAGCTGGGATGAAAGAGATCTGCTCAGAGTGATCTGGGATGAGAGCTTTTTAGCTTCGAATAGAGGTAGAGAGAAAAAGATAAGTTCCGATTCGTAGCTCGAAAGTCGGAGGGAAAGTCGGAGGGTAGCTCGATATCAAAACAACGTCGTTTTGATTTTTTTTTTTTTTTTTCTCTCGTCTCTCTGTCTCGAAGAAAAAAATAAAATAAAGAAAGGCTGGGTTTCATCAAAAGAAGAACGAAGAAAGGGGCTGGCAACCATCATCAACATTAACATCATCACCACCAGCTGGGTTTCATCAAAAGAAGAAAGAAGAAATGGGTTTCAACACATATTTTCAAAAATTGGGATCATCAATAAAAACAAGTTAACACAGTTTTTTTTTTTTAACAATCCCGATTCATTTTTAGATTTTTTTTTTAAATCTGTCCAAATGAAGCTTGTTGGTATCTATTTTTTTTAAATCTGCCCAAATTTTTTTTCCTTCATCCTCGAATGTTTTTTTTGTTCCCTTCATCCTCAGATTCAAATCAGCAACAACATCATCATCGTCGTCTTCAACATCACCATCATCTTCATCAACAACAAAAAAAAAAAAAATTACCTTTAATCCTCAAAATTACCTTTAATCCTCAAAAAAATTACCTTTAATCAGGAATCGAACCAAGGAGCTGGGTCTGGTGAAGAATTAAGAAGAAGAAGAAGAAGAAGAAGAAAGAGCTTGGTCTAATGAAAATCCGTGGGGTTCGATCTTTCTTCTCCTCTTCTCCTCTTCTCTCTCTCTCCTTTCGTCTCTTCTCTCCCTCTATTTTTGAACACAGAGAAAGAAAGGAAAAAAAAAATAGCTAAAACGACGTCGTTTTGGCTATTCAGGCCAAATTCGAGCTAACAAATTCGAACTACCAGCCATTTTTCGAAAGAGATAGAGATGAGAGAGAAAATAATGACATATGTAAATTCGGGCCACTCGAGCCACTAGGTTTCGAGCTACAAAGCATTTTGCTATCATTTAATGGTATCAATTTAATGTTCAATAGAAAATTGATAACATTGTTGATAAATTAAGTTCTTAGAAACAAAGTAGTACAAAGAGACTATCAAGGACATTAATGTCAATGCTTGCCCAATAGGTTGCGAACCTGTGAATTTTGGACCCTTGCTTTTTATTTTTGTCCATAAGTTCATGGCATTGTTGCTGCACCAAACAAATTCCCAATTTAGCATTTTGAAGCATAATAAAGCCAAAACTTCAATTTAATTATATTTCCATAAACAATCTTGTCTCAACAAGGCAAAGGAAAGTCTTCATGCAAATATATGCAACCGAGAAATACCATTGGTAATCACCAAATCTTGGATTACAAGCAACAATCAAAGGCTCTATATCCAACTCATCGGGGACTGTTGCTTTAAGCGATGTTTCAAACAGTCTTGCTATTGTTGCTTAAGACTCCCAACTTTTTCTTCATCCTGTTCCAAAAATCATTATATTGAAAAACAACTTAGGCTAAGTTTGGGAAGGCTCAAATAATTTATCTTTTTATCTTCTTTTTTTTTTTTATCACATCACTTTTTTACTTTTTTGCATATCTTTTCATAAAAAGACAAAAAATACACTTATTTAGGTCATCCCAAACAACCCCTTAGTTATGTTACAGAAGTGCAAAACAAATAAACCGACTGCAACCTTCCATAATTCAGTTGTAATTTTTAATACAAATATCAGTGCCCTTCGCATATATCTATTTACACTATATTAATTAAATTGGCAAATTACAAACACCCTCTCGAGGTTTGGTAAAAATACAAATTCTCTCCTGAAGTTTGAGAAATTACATCCCGTCCCCTAAGATTCATATTTCCATAACAAATTGTCCCCTGAGGTTTTTATTTTCATACAGATTCCCTCCTAATTTCTCCTAATTTGTTATGAAAATTTGACCCTCAGGGGGCAATTTGTAATTTCTCAAACCTCAGGGAAAATTTGTATTTTTATCAAATCTCGAGAAAAAATCTGTATTTTTATCAAATCTCGAAGAGTGTTTATAATTTGCCCTAATCTATCTATCTATCTATCTATACTATTATAAAGTGAACAGGAACTTTGGTGTCCTGAAGCTTTACTCTCCTCATGCCATGTGGCAGTATTTTTTATTTTTTAAAAAAAAGTTAAACAAAGAGATGGGCAATACCACTTAAGCTAAGTACATATTATAATATTAATTTCATTATTATTTTTTCTTATTCCTACTTATTGCACACAGATCGTGTGTCCCACCCACTAGTTAAATTAATATGTCAGCACTAAATTTGGTGTCTCAATCTCCTACAATGTTTTGGACTTCAATACTTCTAATAAATTACAATTGTAACCACAATATCACAACTCAAGATCCACAAACTGCCATTAACCACAATTCATGATTTTCATACTCTATTGCATACTCTCTTATTTATCCTCTATTTTTATTAAATAATATACACATAGAGTGTGCCCCACTTCTGGTATGTATATATGTTGTTGTCTGTACCTTTGTTGTTGAGAATAACCTTCTAGATGTTGCCTCAAAATATCTTTCTAAATAGTTGATGATTGCACAAAATTACCAAAAAAACAGTACCATCAAAGATGGTTCATAGCCATTAAAATGTGCATAAACAAACAGAAAATTGATATCCAAAAGCATAGATATCATCTCACAATGTTTTGATCATAACACGTACAACTATCTTATGTGGAAATTATCACATAGTGCTGTTATTATGTACTTTGAATTGCACTCTAAAAATTCATATTTTGAGAAGAAATTGCGCTTTTTCTTGAATGTGAGTTGGAAAAAGTTTAGAATTGAATTTTTTCTTGAATGTGAGTTGAGAAAAGTTGAAATCTCAGAATCTAAATTGGAATAATTTGAAATCTTTGGCCTTTTTTTTTTTTTTTTCACTAACCCAAATGAGATCGTTTTGGTTCTACTTCACATAGAGAATCTAAACTCGTTCATATATGTATACATACATATTTGAATATGTTAGAAATGATTATAAATTCTGGGTAAAATCAGAATTTTATCCTAAGTTTAGTTTATTTTTTAGGTGGACTCCGTGCGTCGATTTTCACCGGTCAAAGTGGTAACGCGTTCTATGTCACGTTGTGATTCACGTGGTATATTTGGTTGCTCAAAATCATTACCGAGTGAATGGGAAATTGAAGCCAAAGTGTGCTCCATGAAAATGGAGTTTTGGTAGAAATTCCATAAGGTTGTAAAATGGCTTGTCCCACATTGATTTGGTGGGAAGTTTTGAATGGGTTTATAAGGTTTGGATTTGGTACTTGGGGTGTGCCCCAAGGGGTACCCAAGTGTTTTAGAGGGAGAGATTATGGGCTAGACCCATTAGACCCAAAAACCACACATGCGCCGCCGTTCGGGCGGGTTGGGCCTAGGCGCGGGTGTGTGGTTGGGTTGAGCTTGTTCAGTCCAATATTAATCTTTTTGGGCCAAAAATATTTGAATTTAATTTTATTTTTGGTAAAATAATATCCAGAATTCAAAATTAAACTGGTTTGGTTTTACTATACATCCAAACATGGCCCTTCCTAGAATTAAACTGGTCCGGATTTACTGTACACCCAAACAAGGCCCTTCCCATTTTTGTTATCTGTATAAATTGTAATCCAACATATTCAAATCTGTTTGAATTCAAAACCAACAGGTTTCATACCTATTCAATTCAAAACCTACAGCCACCATTACATCTATAAATAGGACAGCCCTTATTTGGATTTTGTAATTCTAATTTTCGTCCTTCATAATTCTGCAAACATCCTCTTCATTTTGCTGCATCATTTTCTTGTCAAAGAGAGTATAAACACTTAGTGTGTTCGTTAGGCAAACAATTTGTAGTGCCGCTATTGTTTGTAGTAGATCATTTTATCTTGAGAGATAGACGTCCAAATTCTGAAAGCACCATGGAGAGGACGAATATGTCTTAAGGACACAGTGTCAAACACTGGACTTGATCAAATTATAATTCGAAGAAATTAAATCAAGTAAGTTATTTAATTTATTTTTAGTGTTATTATTATTTA